ACCATACACTTCTATTTAATTAGCCATATCACACCATGACGTAGCAGTTAACCTGTCAGATCATCATACTTTGTTATTAACAGCTGTCTGACACCCTGATGCCTCAGTCTGCCCTGAATAACAGCTGTATGAAACCCTGACGCCTCAATCCGCCCTGAATAACAGCTGTATGACACCCTGACGCGTCAATCCGCCCTGAATAACAGCTGTATGACACCCTGGCACCTCAATCTGCACTAAATAACAGCTGTATGACACCCTGACTTAGCAGTTTAACAGCTGTATGACACCCTGACTTAACAGTTAAGGCAGTGGAATGATTATATTATCCTTATATTGTTTAAATTAAATTCACAAAGCTCGGACTAGCTTCACTTGCACTGTTCGCACATAAACAAACGGAGTTTTCGCTCCACCTGAAGTTGAGCACATATTACACGCAAAGCGTCACCAAAGTGATTTACTTACGGTTCCGGAAATGCATTGTACTCTGTAAATTGTGTAAATACACAATAATACCATGTGTACTTTGCACCAAAACAATTTACTGACTTACTTTTTGTTGTATCTTGCAGTGTAGGATGATCAGACGGCTCCTCTGAATGTCACAGACTTATTGCAAAATGTGCATGTGCGTGCATGCTTATTAACGAAATGCATGATACCATCACATGTATGGTGAATGGACAGAACACCTGCCAAAAATAAAAAAAAAACTGACATAATTAGCCAGAGCTTCGTGTAGCTTCTCATCACAATAGACAATATCGCCGGGATATGAATTTTCTGTCATATTGCACATCCTGACTCTGTATCTTAACATCTGACTGTTCTTACAGTCAGTAAACACCAGCAGATGTCCACAACAGTGAAACATATGATCGTCAGCACTAACTAAACAGACCTGTATTAACGTGTAATGTGTATCATTTCAGGTCAATCAGTCAGTTCCTGTCTGAAGCTCCTCTAAATCCATGGGTGTCCTTGGAGAAGGATGGGACAGTAATGTGTGGCCACTGCATTTTAAAGCAAGTATGTCATGACACAAACATTCACTTGAACTTGAAAATTACAGATAAAAACAAAGGATAATGATGTTTAGAGGAGATTATAACAATTAATTTTTTCTTGTTTGTCAGATGGGGATGTGAAAACAGCCAGCCAGACATATGAAGCCATCGCTGGACCGCAGCATCAGGATCTGAGAGTTTGTGCTTCCAGACTACACATCAGCTGCAGCTGACCATACCTCGGAGCTTCTCCGGACACTCTGCTCTCCTGCACCTGCTGTGGTGATGGTGTTTGGAAAATAAAATGCCCACATTGTGCCAAAGATGCAGGAGACCTCGGTGCCTCAGTTAAGAAACATTTCTGCATTGACAACACAAACGGGTCCTATGAACTCAGCAGAGGTCACACAGGTGCACCAGGTACAAGCTCAGGTGTGTGACAGAGCAGGAGTACTGTGACTTCATGGTGTGGTCTGGGTCAGATTACTTTATTCAGAGGATTGTGTCTGATGTGATTCTTTACTGAAGCAGTGAAAAATGAAGAAATGTTCTATAGGTCAACATTTTTACCTGAGCTATTGGCCAAATGTTATTTTTAATTATTGTTACATGTTTTGGAGCTGCCAAACTAACATAGGATTAAAGCACATGGTTAAGGTTCCACTGATGGCCCACAGCCAGCTCCCGTCTTAACACGAGAAACATAGTTCCTCCAGCATGTCTTGGGTCTTCCTCTGGGTCTCCTCCGGTGGGACGTGTCCGGAACACCTCACCAGGCAGGCGTCCAGGAGGCATTCTAACCAGATGCCCAAGCCACCTCAGCTGGCTCCTCTCGATGTGGAGAAGCAGCGGCTCTACTGAGTCCCTCCCGGATGACCGAGGTTCTCACCCCATCCACCTGAGACTATGATCCACCTAAGACTATGATCCACCTGAGACTATGATCCACCTAAGACCATGGTCCACCTGAGACCATGGTCCACCTGAGACCATGGTCCACCGGAGACTATGATCCACCGGAGACTATGATCCACCTGAGACTATGATCCACCTGAGACTATGATCCACCTGAGACCATGATCCACCTGAGACTATGATCCACCTGAGACCATGGTCCACCTGAAACCAAGATCCACCTGAGACCATGGTCCACCTGAAACCATGATCCACCTGAGACTATGATCCACTTGAGATTATGATCCACCTGAGACTGATCCACTTGAGACTATGATCCACATGAGACTATAATCCACATGAGAATATGGTCCACCTGAGACCATGATCCACCTGAGACCATGGTCCACCTGAGACTATGATCCACTTGAGACTGATCCTCTTGAGACTATGATCCACCTGAGACTGATCCACTTGAGACTA